AACACTAAAAACATGCTGAGATAGAACCAAAATAGGCTAGCATGATGGATCATGGCATTGAACACACAAGGCTAAATGGTAAGTTTACACTACAAGTGTAAAAAGCATACATGAGGTGACCAAACCAGCCATGAACAGAGTTATATCAGACCTAAAAACTCACAAAAACATGCTCACACTAAGCCTCAAGATGATAGAAATACATGCTCATTTGATAGGCCAATAACACAAAAAAGCAAGACAAGAAGAGAGGGGACCACTCCCTCTCATTTGAGGCCTCAAAACCACATTTCTACCACTAAAAATCCACTGGATTTTAGTGGCTAAAAGGCCAAAAAAAGATGAACTCAAAGGGTTTAAGAGATGACTCCAAGCCTAAGCAAATAAGGCACACAAGAGGGTAGAACACCCTCAACACAAAAGAGGCCTCAAACAACCATCTTAAACACTTAGAATTAGAGCTTTTTGTAGTTGAAAGCAAGGCCTAAAACAATATGCAAGGATGGCCAAATAAGCAATGAATATAAAGCTTTAAAGAGGACAAGAGACTCACCCTTGAAGCACAGCAATAACAGCAAGTTTCTGAGGCAAAACCAAGCTAAAACCACTCAAATACAATCTCCAAGAACCTCAGCTCAAGAGTGAAGGTGTTATACTAGGTGTTGTAGTGCAAAAGTGAAGAGAAAATACACTTTAAGGCAAAAACTAGCACAATATATATATATATAGAGAGAGAGAGGAGTGTGAGAAATATAGAGAGAAAGAGAGAGATATTGTCTCTAAAATTTGCTGAACCTTTGTAAGGGAAGAGGAGCCTTTCCTTATATAGAGGCATATAATGCAAAGCTTGTTAAACAAGCTTAAAATGGGCTTCATCCCTCCATACACGTGTATGGAGGAGGGCTCAGTGAAAACCAGCTGGCTCAAAAGATCTAGCACAAAATCTGCTAAGACAAGGTGTTCTGCCGGCCATCAGTGGTGGCCGACAGTGCCTCATTGATGGCCGGAAGGTTCATCAATGGTCGGCAGGGCTAAATTCATGGCCGACAGTGCCAAAAAGTGGCCGACATTGCACCATGATAAGCATGCTGAAAGGACCAACATATGGTCCAAAAATGGGGCAGAAAGGATTCAGGGTTTGGAAAGCTCAAACCTGTGACGTTCCGCCGCGAAATTCGAGTACTCGATGAGCAATCAAACTTGTCACTAGATGTACCTGCAAGCATATACAAGTCTTGAGGACGGTCAAAAATGAGGTGTCTACAGCTTCATTCGTCGTCAGCCCACTGGTCGATGTATTATTTTGTTGGTTTATGTGGATGATATTAGTTTGTTCTCGCAGTGGGATATCATTGTCCCAGCAGAAGTATACTTTGGATCTTCTTTGGGACACTGGTATGATGGGGTGCAAGCCTGCCTCTACTCCTATGGATCCGAATTTGAAACTTTTGGCTGAGTCTGGTGAGTTGCTTTCTAATCCAACTCGCTACCAGAGATTGGTAGGATGTTTGATCTATTTGACTAATACATGACAAGATTTGACATTTGCTGTAAGTGTGGTTAGTCATTTTATGCATTCACCTCGTACTATTCACCTTGATGCTGTTCACCACATCTTGAGATATCTCAAGTCATGTCCAGGTTTGGGTTTATTCTTCAATTGTGGGATTCAAACAGGATTGGCTTGTTTTACTGATGCAGACTATGCAGGTTCATTGACTGATTAACGTTCCACTTCTGGGGTATGCTCCTTCCTTGGTACCCATATTCTGTCATGGAAAAGCAAAAAACAAACGGTTGTTTCTCGATCATCTGCTGAAGTTGAATACCATGCCATGGCTCATGGGACATGTGAGTTACTATGGCCTCGGTCCATTCTTACTGAGTTAGGCTTTGAGGAGAATAATTCCTCCAAGCTATTTTGTAACAATAAATCTGTCATCTTACTTGCCTCTGACTCTGTGCTTCATGAGCATACTAAGCATATTGAGGTTGATATTCATTTTATCCGGGAAAAGGTTCGAGCTGGCATTGTATGTCCTTCATTTGTTTCATCTTTTGATCAGACTGCCAACATATTCACCAAATCTATAGGACCATTCTTACTTCGATCTTCCATTGGCAAGCTGGGGTTGGTTGACGTCTTTGATCCAGCTTGAGGGGGAGTGTTGGAATATGGAATATTGTATATTTAATTTAGGAATTTAATTTTAGGGTTTGATTGTGTAATTATTTAATTCCTTTTTCTATGTATCTTATATTGATTATATATAGACATGGTCTTACCCCAATTAGGGTAAGCCAATATTTTACAACTCTCTTCTACTACCACCACCATTGTTCACCAACCATCTCCACTGTCGCTGATCTATACTTCACCATCTCTCAACCATTTGATCGATTGCCTAACATTGTCGTCTTCCTTCCTTTTTGCCTTATCGTCGCTCTTCCTCCATCCTTCATTTTCTATCACCGTTGTTCTTTTTCAATCATCGATGCACCATCTTCAACATTGAACTTCACCAATGGCTTTAAATCTAGTTGTTTTCAATGCCGATCTACCATCTTCGGTGCCAATCTGGTACTTTAAATGGCTGCCGATGAGATCGAAACTCTTTTTACAGTGTGTTGGTGAAGATCTACATTTGTAAAACATGTTGAACTAATTTGATGAATTTATCACTTAATTCAGTAATAAATTTACCGCCGATTTGTTTAATATGTTGTGGACTGTTGCTGTTGAAATTTTGATATTAATACAATGATAAATTTATCACTAATTTTTGTTCATGTTATATTTATCACCTCCCTCTTCCTCACTCCATCTCTCTCTCTCTCTCTCTCTCTCTCTCTCTCTCTCTCTCTCTTTATTTCTCTTAACCAAATCTGTTGTATCAGTGATAAATGTATCATTGATATATTTCTTTGAATCTTGTGTTGATTTGTGACGATGATGACCAAATTTTTTTTTTTTTTTTATGTAATCTTTTAACAAACAACTAGTGGGAAATTTTTTGTAATCTTTTGTGTCTATCAGTGATAAATTTATCATTGATTTGTTGAATATGCTGTATATTGTTGCTATTTTTTATATTTATGCATTGATGAATTTATCACTGATTTGTCATTGTAAATGTGAATATATATGTTGGATGGGTCAATCTATTAGTGATAGATAAATTTATCACTGGAAAGAGGACAAATAGTAGATGGTAAAGGCATGGTTATGTTGATCTACGGCATGAAGGCTAACAATTTTCTACTAAGGCCTTTCTTTTTCCTCTTCCTCTTCATCTTCTCTCTCTCTCACTCTCTCTCATTTTTTTTCTTCTTCTTTTTCTTTTTCTTCTCCTGTCGCCATCAGCTCTTAGGAGATAGTAACAGTAGTGAGTGCCAGAGTTTGCTGGAGGTGATCGTCAAAGGTTGTCGAAGGTTATCACCGGCGGTTAGAAGTACTTGTCGATGGCTAGAAATGGGAGGTGGTAGATGATAGGTCATTGCAGTGATCTGGTGATTGAGTTGTTGAAGAAGGTATAGGAAGGGTATTTTGGAGATATTAAGAGGTGAAAAAATGAGCCGGACTTATAGGTAAATAAATCTGGTCAATAGGACCGACCCGTAAGTCTCCCAAAATTAATGGCAAGAAAGCCCAATGGCTAGGCCTTTTGGCATTTGAGGAGCTCATTTGGCAAACAAGTATGCCACTACATCAGAAAGAGTTCACCTACTAGTTTACTAAAATTGGATAATTTTGTACCTATCTTGAAATTTTTTTACTACATCAGAAAGAGTTCACCTACTAGTTTACTAAAATTGGATAATTTTGTACCTATCTTGAAATTTTTTTACTACATCAGAAAGAGTTCACCTACTAGTTTACTAAAATTGGATAATTTTGTACCTATCTTGAAATTTTTTTACTACATCAGAAAGAGTTCACCTACTAGTTTACTAAAATTGGATAATTTTGTACCTATCTTGAAATTTTTTTACTACATCAGAAAGAGTTCACCTACTAGTTTACTAAAATTGGATAATTTTGTACCTATCTTGAAATTTTTTTACTACATCAGAAAGAGTTCACCTACTAGTTTACTAAAATTGGATAATTTTGTACCTATCTTGAAATTTTTTTACTACATCAGAAAGAGTTCACCTACTAGTTTACTAAAATTGGATAATTTTGTACCTATCTTGAAATTTTTTTACTACATCAGAAAGAGTTCACCTACTAGTTTACTAAAATTGGATAATTTTGTACCTATCTTGAAATTTTTTTACTACATCAGAAAGAGTTCACCTACTAGTTTACTAAAATTGGATAATTTTGTACCTATCTTGAAATTTTTTTACTACATCAGAAAGAGTTCACCTACTAGTTTACTAAAATTGGATAATTTTGTACCTATCTTGAAATTTTTTTACTACATCAGAAAGAGTTCACCTACTAGTTTACTAAAATTGGATAATTTTGTACCTATCTTGAAATTTTTTTACTACATCAGAAAGAGTTCACCTACTAGTTTACTAAAATTGGATAATTTTGTACCTATCTTGAAATTTTTTTACTACATCAGAAAGAGTTCACCTACTAGTTTACTAAAATTGGATAATTTTGTACCTATCTTGAAATTTTTTTACTACATCAGAAAGAGTTCACCTACTAGTTTACTAAAATTGGATAATTTTGTACCTATCTTGAAATTTTTTTACTACATCAGAAAGAGTTCACCTACTAGTTTACTAAAATTGGATAATTTTGTACCTATCTTGAAATTTTTTTACTACATCAGAAAGAGTTCACCTACTAGTTTACTAAAATTGGATAATTTTGTACCTATCTTGAAATTTTTTTACTACATCAGAAAGAGTTCACCTACTAGTTTACTAAAATTGGATAATTTTGTACCTATCTTGAAATTTTTTTACTACATCAGAAAGAGTTCACCTACTAGTTTACTAAAATTGGATAATTTTGTACCTATCTTGAAATTTTTTTACTACATCAGAAAGAGTTCACCTACTAGTTTAGGAGTGAGTCCTCTCTCTACCCCTTTCTTCAAAAGCATGGTGGAGATACGGAGTGTACGTGCACACTCAATTGAAAGGTCCCATCCATAGCACTTCAAAAGTGCAATATCTTGTTCAGCATCCAGTGATCTTATGTACTCAACTGTATCTGGGGAGTAAGGTTGGTGTGCTTGTGGCCAATAGAGCCAATCGAGTGTGCAATCTTCAAACTGCCATTAGGAAGAAATTTGACTCTATATTAGTTAAAAACCTAAAAATTAATTTAAAACTTTAGTGACAATCGTTTAGAGAAATATAGAACGAAAAATATGTAAGTGTATGCAAATATGTGAAATGTTTATTGAAGTTGTAATTTGTTTGCTTCTTAAACAAACGCCCATTAGGCAATGCTTTAGAGAAATATTTAACGAAAAATATACAAGTGTATGCAAATATGTGAAATGTTTATTGAAGTTGTAATTTGTTTGCTTCTTAAACAAACGCCCATTAGGTGGTCGTTAGCAGACCATTTATGTAAAACTATTAAAATGCTCATAAACCAGCACAACAATTTTTTGTTGAGGTTGGATGAATCAAGCTATTGTATAAAAAAATCAGTTTCATTTTGTGTCCAGACATGGAAATTAACTGTTATGTCGGTCCATGTCATCGAAAATCCCAGAACATGTCCTCTAATTTTCTTTTTCCTACAACCTTGTGCCTTATATTTGCATATATTGAAATGTTACTCTTGACTAGTCTTCCACTATTACCACTAAGAAAACAAATAAGATAAACTCAGCTTCACCCCATCCAGAGATAATATGGCAAGCAATATAACATTTAAGAGAAGAGTAGCACTTACATTCTCAGGCAAGCAATAGCCATGATCAATTGGAATAAGCACGATACGCCCTTCTTCACCCTCTTTGATCACCAGAATATTTCCCGCGTGCCTATCTGTATTCACCATTCTTATATCAAACACACTAATCTTGTGGACCTCCTCCACAGGGAAATCCCTAGGACCCATGTCCTCACAACATCCAAAATTCTTCATAAACATTTGCAATGAACCAATCTTAACATTCTTTGGTGCACATTCATACCCTTCTGGATAATTAAATCCCTTGTGCAAGCACTGAACCATAACAGTAGGTGGCACACCAGCAAATCCAACCTCACCACTCAACAATGAGCGCGGACCACTCTTAGGATGATCCAATATGTATGCTGCAACTTCTCTAAATGCACCTTCTCCAACTCTTGTTCCCCTTTTTAGTCCTTCACCGTTTGATGATAAGGGTAACCCTTGAGGGTTATTCACAGCCATTGGTTCCTCGTCTAAGGGCTTAAAAACCGAAAGATACTTTTTTCCTAATGCATCTTGCATAAAATAAGCTCCTCCAGTACCCTCAGATGATCTGATAGGTTGTTTACCTCTCTCCAATCCATGGAGTGTAGACTTAATCATTTCCCATAACATTGAAGACAATTTGATCTTCGGATTAACAAAAACCGGTTCCAACAAGAAATCTCTAACCAAAGGCTTCCGAGATATGACAGAGAGTTCGACTTCTTTCTCCACAGGCTTGGCCTCAACTTTTGGAGATTTCTGAACTACCAAATGAATCACAGCATCTGTATTCTTACAAATATCATCAATTAGCCTCTGGTCATCGAGCTTCTCGCCATTGCAAAAAAGTACTACATCCTCACGATCAACAAAACCATTCACTTTCTTGGCAATTTGTCGCTTGAGATACCCAACATTTTTATAGCGATCAATCTGAAACTCAAATTTCTTCCCACAGGCGGTCCTAACAGTGATGAGCAGGAGATGAGAAAGCCGGAGAACCAAATGCAAAACGTTCCCTTCGGTGACACCATAGTCCTTAATGAGGGAATCGTTTCTCGCTAATTCTCTGCCTCGAAAAACTAGCTTCTGTTTCTTCACTACAAAGCCTTTACAAGTTTGGATCCTAAGCTTCACTGATGCAATCGAATCAGACTCCAATACCCATATGGGAATCACAGAACCAACGACAGTGAGGTAAATTATGATCGATTCATCAGAGCACAGACCCAACCGGCTATCAAGATAACCGGGAGATCGTACCAACTCCCCACAAATCGGACTCAAAGCAACATCAGCAACTGACATTGTGCTTTTCAACCTCCTTTTTTTTAAAAAAAAAAAAAAATTCCTAATTCAATTTACAATCTTTATACAACTATACCAACTTACAAGTTGATAGGCTTCACAAACAGCTGAAATTGAACAAGACCTCTCAATCAAATTGAATTTGTCCTCCTGATGATCAAAGAGTCCAGTTCTAGCCCAAATACATAAATACCCAAAAATAAAATACAAAAATAAAAAGAATACTATACAATGCACCAATTGAAAAGAGAAACCCAGAAGAAATTCAAAGCTTCAAAACCTAAAGATGCATTCTTTCTCTGAAAACCGCCAAATTCAGGGGTCATGAAGATCAAGAAGCCCAAAAGGTAAAAACTTTGAAGCTTTAACAAGGATTGATTACTCAACTTCCCTCTCTCCTCTAACCCACCAAAAAGGTCATCAAAAATTGGGTTTGAAAGACGATGACACAGCACGAATAGAGAGTGGATTCTTTCTTACCAAGGTGAAAGAATCGAAGGTGAATGGGGTAAAGAAAGTGAGGTTATATTGGAGAATGAGATGTTGCAGAGACGGCTATTAATTGGCGATGAATTGAGACGATCTTTTTTTTGCCATTTTTTTTTCGAGATTTTAGATATTGGATAATTGGTTGGGTTTATTTTCTATCCTCAGGTTTTCAAAAGGATCCGATTCTCTCGCCGATTTTCTGGTTTTTTTCAGGTAGAAATGTCGATCGGAGAGAAGAGAGGAGAGAGAAACAGTCATGTAGCCGTTGGATTTGTGTTTGCATTGACCCGACACCCGAGGACATTAACGGGCAAATGTTTCGAACATCACTTCAAAAGGATAATAATACGAGTATATGTCGGCACAACTCAGATGAGATGAGATTTTGGAGTTGTTTAGGGTGTCTTAAATGAAAAATTTTTGGTAGTTTGAATTTTATGGTCCGAATTCGGCTCGAGACCTAAAACGACGTCGTTTTGAGTCTCGAATTTTTATTTATTTTTTTCTTTTTCTTTCTCTTCTTTCTCTTCTTTTTCTTTCTTTCTTTTCTTCTTCTTCTTCTTCGTTGAACCAGGCAACACAGGCGAGAGAGAGAGAGGAGAGGAGAGAAGGGCCCCTGCCGCCACCGATCGTAGCAGCACGCCGCCGATCGTCGCAGCAGCTCCGATCGTCGCAGCCCTGCCTCCGGCCCCGACTCCTCCTCCAGTCCCATTTTTATGGCCTCCTCCCCTCCAGTCCTCCTCCTCCTCCTCCCTCCTTCTTCTTCTTCTCTTCTTCCTCTGCTCCAAATTCGAGCCTCCGCATTCGAGCTATGAATCAGAGCTCGTCTTAAATAAGTGTATTTTTTGTTTTCTTAGATTAAAAAATTGAGGAAGAAAATATGGATATTTGGTTTAATTTTTTGACTTTTTATGAAAAAAATGTGTAATAAAAAATTGTAAAAATTGATTTGAAAGGAAAAATTAGGATTGGGAGTTATGCAGTCGTAATTGTTGACTTTTGGTAAATAGTGTTAACTTTTTAACTTTTTGAGTAACTTTTTGACTTTTTAACTTTTTTACAATATGCCAAACTTGACCTTATAACTTAAAAGTAAGGCCTGCTATTTTAAAAAAAGTTAAAAAATCAAAAAATTATTATTATATTTAAGTTACATTATCTTATTTAAGTCACATAATTTCTCTATCATATCACTTCAAATCCAACCCATATTTCATAAAAAGTCAAAAAGTACACTTGTTTAGATCATCTCAAACCACCCCTACCTAAGTTTAAAAAAAAAAACGTAGTGTATTTTTTTATTTTTTATGAAAAATGGGTTGAGTATGAGTTGGGTTTGAAGTGATGTAATAGAGAAGTAATGTGACTTAAATAAGATGATATTACTTAAATAGGATGATGACTTTTTAACTTTTTAATTTTTTTTAGATTATGGTAATCAAGGACTAAATATGATAGGAGATATAATTAAAATAACATTATAATTAATGTTATAACTAACAACACAACACTTTAAAGGGATGAATATCATGTATTATACGAATCCAGTGTCACTATTGTGCGTGAAGCACAACGGTGACTATTTGGGTCATATTTTAATAATTTGAACCGTTGAAAATTTAAAAAAATATCGAAAACAATATACTTGTAAAAAAATCAAATTGATCAAATATCAATAACATGTTCATCAAATAACATCTTTATATATAAAAAAAAAAAATATGTATGTATCAAACTAAACACAAATGTTTTTTTGATAAAGAAATTGTTAATATCCGATCAACTTAATGTTTTACAGGTATATTGTTCTCGATATTTTCTAAATTTTTAACAGTTCGAATCATCAAAATATGACTCAAAATAAGTCCCACGGGCAGCACAACAATCACGCATAGCAATGACACTGGATCCGCATTATACTCTTATTTAGAGGTGGTTTGGAAACTATCTATTTTAACATTTTTTTTTTTAAATTTTATTTAGGTTACATCATCTCTTATTTACATTATATTACATTATTATTTTTTTATAAATCTTTTTGTAAAAAATAAAAAGTTATTAAAATAGCCTATTCTACATAACTCCTTACAATAGGATTTTATTAATGGGAAAAAATACGGTACACACCTTTCAATAGGTGTACCATATACAAATTATAACTAAAGAAGAAAATAGCATAATTTCATACTTTCGAAGGCATGTCTATAAAATAAAATAAAAAATCATAATCAAACAACCCATAAGGCATAACCAAATATCGCATAAGTCATAATTAAAATAAATTCATAAATAAAGAAAAAAAATTATTTATAACTAAAAAAATGATATAATTTAAGGGTACATATGGTAAGGGATATGGTGTATATAGTAGAATTTCCCCTTATTAAATTTACAATTAAGGTAATGTTAAGAAATTTAAAAGTATTTTTTAATTGTATAAAAATTAGTAGAGTAAATAAGATTTAATTTTTTAAGTTTTGTTAGCATATCTTACGAGAAAGGCTATCGTACACCTCCTTCAAATAGTATGTAATAGGCCTGTCAACGGATCGGGTATAACCCGAATCCGATCCGATTAATCCGGTCCATTTATGCAAATCTGAATCCGAATATCTGTTTAACCCGTATCTGTGTAGCCCGATTTTAAACGGGTCGGACTCGGATAAATCCGATCCGATCCGTTTGTTTGCCTAATCCGATTACATTGAAATCAGATCTCTCATAAACAGATCTCTCTCATCGTCTGAAAAGTGCGTTCTGTTGTTTAAGTTCATGGTCTGAAGATCAAATCTCTCTCTCATCGTCTGAAAATGCTCCGATTGATGACGATGAACTTAGCCAAATCGAGCTCTCTGCTCCGATTGGATTCATAACGCTCAATTTCAAAGAACGAAGTCCAAATCTCGTCAGATCGGAGCTACGAACTGTAAGAAATCATCTCTCTGCTCCTTTTTATTTTTATTTTTTTTTGTTGGGTCTCCGTCTCGTTTCTATTTTTGTTGCCGATCTGATTCTCGAAAGCAAATCGTAATCAGCTCTCCACTTTGCTTACCCGTATCTGATTTTAATCGTAATCAGCTCTCCACTTTGCTTACCCGTATCTGATTTTAATCGTAATCAGCTCTCCACTTTGCCGATCTGTTTTTGTTGCCAATCTGATTCTTACCTGTATCTTATTTTAATCAGCTCTCCACTTTGCTTTCTGGGTTTTTATTTTTTTATTTTTTATTTTTTTGCTTTTATTTGTGATTTTTTTTTTTTTTGGTTTCTTGTTAATGAATGTGGGCTTTTTGAAATGAAGGTTGCTTTCCCATCTCTCTCCCTCACTTTCTTCATTTATCTATTGATACTTTTTGGATATTCTTTTGGGGGTTACGTGAATGATGAGGGGTTTTAAGCACTATTTTGAACTATTTGATGAATTGGGTCTTTCCCCTTTCTTTGTTTTTTTGCTAATCTGATTATATATAGGGGTAAACCTTGAAAAGCAATTTGCTTGGATCTGTGTAGGTTCATAAATTCATCTTCTTTCTGTGTTGTTTCTGTTTTTGTGTTGGTGGGTATTATTTTCTGGTATTATTTTCATACCGTCTGTTTTTGCTGATTTGATTATTATATAGCACTATTTTGAACTATTTTCATAAATTCATCTTCATTCTGAAATTTCTCTTCTATGTTAGATTCATGGGATAGCTTATCTTTTCACTACAATCCTCTGCAAACATGTCTGCTTATCTTTTCACTACAATCCTCTGCAAAGACTTAGTAATGGGATAGTTGCTTATTAGTTTTGTTGTTTTTAAATGAATTCCACATGCCTTTACAGTAGATTGATCACATGCACACAAATCTATATAATTTCCAAATTGGTGTACACTGTTTTTAAATGAACTCCTACTCCTTTATGTTTGATTTCTTGTGCAGTGCATATTTGAGTTTTTGAGCCAAAGATGTCTTCGGATTATAGCGAACCTATTACTGATGATGATGCCGAGTTGGATGACGATGTATCTCAAGGACCCACAAAGAGGATTCGAAAACTAACTTCAAAGGTATGGGATGACTTTGTCAAATTTAAAGGACCTAATGGAAATGACATAGCTAGATGTAAGCATTGCAATAGGGAATTTGTTGGAGAGAGTTGGAAAGGGACTAGTCATTTAAAAAATCATTTGTCGAAGACATGTCCAGTACTTAAAGGGCCAAATGCCCCTAGGATTGCTAGTAAGGCTGCTTCTGAATCTACTCCTAAGGCTGCAAATTTTAAATTCGATCAAGAGAGAAGTTGTATGGATTTTTCTAGGATGGTAATCAAGCACAATTATCCTTTTAACATGGCTGAGCATGAATTTTTTGAAATATTTTGTAATAATCTTCAACCAATGTTCAAACTTGTTTCTCGTGACACTGTTAGGGCGGATGTCCTTGATGTTTATGAAATAGAAAAGGCCAAGTTATATCAATTTTTGGATGAATTCTCTTCTAAGATCACCTTGACAACTGATATATGGACTTCAGACCATAAGAATTTTGCCTATACATGACCAAGGATTACTACATTTGGGTGGACAATTGTTTCATGTGCGTTGTAGGGCACACATATTGAATTTAGTTGTTCAGGATGGTTTGAAGGTGTTTGGGAGTCTTATTTCAAAAATCCGAGAAAGTGTGAGATATTTAGGGAGGTCTCCTTATGGAAAACAAAAATTTGATGTTGCAGTGAATCATGTTAAGTTACATCATAAAAAGAAAGTCCCCATGGATGTTCCTACCAGATGGAACTCCACTTATTCAATGCTTGAAGCTGCATTAGATTTGAAAAGTGCATTCCACAGCTTAGGGCAAATTGACAAACAATATAAGCACAATCCTTCTAAGGATGAGTGGAATGTAGCAAATGTGATTTGTGGGTGCTTGAAGATTTTTTTGATGCTACATCTCACTTTAGTGGTACCACTTTTCCGACTTCAAATGTGTTTTTTCCCGATATTTGTCTTATTCAACTTGAAATGAAAAAATGGGAGCAAAGTGAGTATGATTGCATTCAATTGATGGCAGGTCCAATGAGAGTGAAATTTCAAAAATATTGGGAAGAATGTTCTTTGGTGTTAGCAATTGCAGTGGTTCTCGATCCGAGATTTAAAATGGACTTGGTGGAATATTACTTTGGGCTTATTTATGGTGTTGATGCTAACAAGCATATTCAGAGGGTCCGTAATGGTTTTGTTGATCTTTTTTATGAGTATAAGAGTGATTCTTCTGATTTTATGAGTTGCATTGCCTCTGTTTCTGAAAATAGTAGCTCAAGTAGTAGTCAATTGCATGTGGGTTCTTCGAAAGAAGAAAGTTTGGC